GTATAACTGAGTCCTGGTAAATTCTAAATGCCTAAATATGGGACACTAAGTGATTTTGTGTCCCAAGCTGACCAAACATGGAAAAAAGACAAAACAGATACTGAGGGATAAAAGGAGGCAACTGATTATTTTATGCTTATTCTTCTAATTTAGTTTTTTTACTCTTTTCCATCCCATTCTGTTCCTTGAGATGCTAAAAGTATCCCCTGGGCTCTCTTTGCCGGTAACTTCTAGTTGTATTTGACCAATGGCAGGGAAGGAAATGGAGGAGAGTGTGAGATTATTTATTAATTCCCGATATTTTCTCTCTGCTAAACCAAAGTTTAGCAGTGGTGGTGGTACTCTTTCGAAGGCCACAGTTGTTCTTCATATGGCTGCAACTCTAATTTCATGTAACAGCATCTCCTTCTCACCCATTCAGACTTAAAGCTATTGTTGACTTCCCCCATTTCTATTCCTTGGAATCTTCAGCATTCTCTTTTGTTACTCTTAGCCATCTTTATACCTCTATAAATAGTTTCTTTATTCAATTCTCAACCATTACTACTTTGGGTATGCAAACAGTTCCCCCATCCCCTAGAATAAATGACAGAGCAGAAAGAAGATCGTATCAGGTCACATATGGACTTTTTAGTAAGAGATAAATAAAATCTATCTCTTTTAAAGAAACTGTCACTTTAGGGTTTTCTGTTATATGCAGTCAAACATTGTCCTCAATGCTGTAACACCTCACTTTGATAATTCCTCCTTTCATTGTTTGGAAAGTGCTGTTCGGCATTTCTTTTTTATTGGCATCGTCCTAGCACCCATTATGTCCCTTGGACACCTCTCCATCCTCTGAATGTCAATAGATTTAGTGTCTTTACCCCTCATTTTGAGTTAGAATTTCTAACTGTACCATTATCTTCCATTCATGTACCATCTACTGTTCTTCATCTAAAATTTAGCAAACATATCCTGAACTCAGTAGTTATCAATATGTGCTATTGATAAGAATGGTACTTACCCCATTTATTTAGGAAGAGTCAAACTTCACAGCCTTCTAAGTAGAGAAGACTTCAGTGGTTTAAATATTTTCATTCTGAATTCTTGCCATAAGTGTATTTTATGAGACGATTATTTTTCCCCTGACTCTGCTTGGAAAGTCAGAAACGAGCAACATGGAAAAATGTCACTTTAGAAGCAAGGCGGAAGAATATCATGGGCAGATGCTTTAGCAGAGAACAAATAAGGGATATGGCAAAGTCCCAGTCCCTGCTTCATCTTCATCTATGGTCACGTGGTGGGCCAAACTTTGGAGTCTATAGCTCCCGAAGACCTACCTGGAAGGTATAATCTGTCAACATCTGCTCACTCGACTCAAATGAAATGTCCTCTTATTTAGTCCCAACTATCCCTCCAATAGCTTTAGATAACAGTTGCCAGCCTTTCACTGCATAGTGATTTTGTCTGCGTGTGTGTGTGTGTGACTGGCACATATTTCATGAGACTAGAAGCAGTAGAAGGGTCAAAACTTATCTTGGGCATTTTTGTATCCTTAGCAACTAGAGCATGCCTGGCTCATAGCAGAAAGTCGAAGAAATAAATCCAAACAAACAAGTGAATATATTCAAGACCTCACTCAAAATCACAATTCTTCATCACCTTCAAACCTGCCATAGTGTTTGCTCCCTCTGTGATTCCATAATAATTTGTATATGATTCTCTTACAGCATTTTCATGTGACTTCATAATTATATATGTAGCCTGTGTAATGGTCAAGCACAATAGCTATACTGCTGAATGTTTAAACCTTGGGCTTTGAATCACAACTCGACTGCTACATAGCTATCTCATCTTAGTTAAGTTGCTTAACATTTCTAAGATTATTTCCTTGTTAATAAAATATATGTAATTTATTTTTACACAAAGAAAAGATTTATTATATACCAACATCTAACAGGTGTAGCTATTGGCAATAGACTTAAGAGAAAAAGAAAAAGAAAAAAAGAAAAGGAAAGTATGGAGATGGGGAAGAAAGAAAAGGTGGACAAATTGCTTGTCCTCATGAATTGTGCATTACAAATATGAATTTATTTATATTTTTCTATGCCCAATTCTACATCTCCAAAGCAAACAATATGATTTCATATATTTATAAGTAGTCTGAAGAAAATAAAGCAAGGTAAGGGCATAGAGCTTGACAGAGATTTCAGAAAGTCCTGATGTTTATTGGAGAAGCTGATTTAAGGATTGAAGTCCCCCAAATCATTAGGGTTGTGCAAAAAATTCAAAAAAGTTTCTTCTTCTCAATGCATGGTAGGATGGCACTTTCTATCTTCTTTGTATCTGGTTATGGCCTTTTCAGTCCATGAAAGCTGGACAGAAGGGAGTTGCATGCAGAAGCTTTGAGAACCAACTCAAGATTTGTCCCATCTTCTTCACCTGTAGAAATTATTTGGAAGCATTTACTGAGAAGTTCTGGCCTTCATGTTAACCCAAACTGGACAGCACACAATTTGAAGATTGTTTTAGTACTGTGTAAGCTCTCCTGTCTTTACTGATACAAGCCTTATCACAATGCCTGAGCCCCAGAGACTGCTTGATAAATTCTTATTATCATCGTGGCTGACATTATTATTATTATTGATTTTATTATAGTAACATTCGTATTACCTATGTAGAAACGTAGTAGAGGATAAATATCCTTCTCTTGAATTAGTTTTAAGGCAGGAAAATGCAAGCCCTTTGATCCTATCTTTAATTAAAATTACCTGTCAGAGGCGGCAGAGTGGCAACACTTAGATCCAAAGAGGAATCCCTAGTGGGAAAAATTAAATGTATGCTTTCAATGTTGTATTTTAATGGATTGGCACTGTAAAACTGGATACATATATTTTTAAGCTATTTGGCTTGGAGACCTAATAAATCTAATTATCAATGCAGAAAACTTTAAAAAATCAAGTATATAAGTAAAAAATGTTAATTATTTGAAATACTATTAAGAATAGTAAAAATTGTCACAAAATGTCAATATAAACTAAGAAATATTTTTAGGCACAGCTTAAATTATAGAAGAAAGCATTAAGTAACTTAACTGGACAGAAATACCAGTTTTAACTGAAATGTACCTCAGTTTCATTTAAACCTTTGCAAGGGAATCGTAGGAAAAAATATAACACATAACTTTCTCTGGTGGCAGAAATTGCTAACAGCATCACAGTAAATCTTGTGTGAAACATGTAAAAACAGATCTGGAGGGGTAGGGGAATGCAAAACACGTCGGAAGCAATTTTTCAGTGAATAAAATTAAATCAAAGGAGAAAGTAAATTTATTGGAACAGAAATATAAATGATAAAATGAGAACTACATTTTATAAAATAAGAACATGTTTCTTCATAAGTATTTCAGTGGTATCTACAAAATCAAGTTCATAATTTTAAATTCTATAAGTGGAATGCTAAATATCCTATTTCTGATGCATACTAAAAACTAGTGAATTTGGAATATTATTTATTTTCTAGAGCTCACTATTTGCCACAACAATAGCTGCAGGGAAAGCTTAATTGAATTTGCATATGTTAGTAACAAATACAGTACAATCACAATAGTAGCCTTGATAGGCTTGACTTGAAATCGTGTGCTTTGACAGACTTGATTTGAGAATATGCAGGTAATACTTTTTCTATGCCGTAGAAATAACGAATGCAAATTCCTTGCTCCTAGAACTGAAAAAGAAGACATTATTCAATTGACTAGGACACAGAGTTACTGTCCTTTTATTGTTTGACATATTAACCTAAATAGAATAGATTTGTGAAATGTGTTCCAGTAAGAAAGAAAAACTACCTTTTGCTTCACTTTGAGATTTATTTATTTATTCAGAGTTCATTGTACTGATTGTGTGCTATCAGGAGAAGGCTTAACCCAGAAGCCAAGTTTCCAACAAGCAGTTTCTAGATATCACATGGTTTGGTTTGTGTTGGTACTAAAATAAAGCACATGGAAGTAGTATCGTGTAGTATTTGCCTTTCTTTGCCTGACCTATTTCACTTACCATAATATTCTCCAGTTTCATCCAGGTTGTTGCAAATGGTAGAATTTTTAAAAATATTTGAATAATATTTCATCATATGTATTCATTCATCCATTGATGGACATTTAGGTGGTTTCCAGGTATTAGCTATTGTGAATAATCCTATTATGATCAGGGGTATACAAGTATCTCTTCAAGATCCCAATTTCGATTTCACATTTCAAAAGAGGAATTACTGGAATATATGGTAGATCTACTTTAATTTTTTTGAGGAACCTCTATGCTGTTTTCCACAGTCATTGTACCACATCCCGTCCTCTGGGAGAACTGAGCGGTATTAGTCAAAGGGTACAAAGCTTCAGTTGTGCAGGATGAATAAGCCCAAGAGCTCTGCTCTGCTGCGAAGTGCCTATGTTTAGTAACACTTTTCTTTATACTTGAAATTTTGCTAAAAGTGTAGATCTCATATTAAGTAATCTTATCACAAAATAATAATAACAATAATAAAGACGTGAGAGAGAAATGTTTGAGGTAATGAATATGTTTATGGTATAGATTATTGTGATAGTTTCACAGATGTATATTTATTGCCAGATTTATCAAGTTGTTTATATTAAATATATACATCTTTTTATGTGTCAGTCATGTATCTCAATAAAGTGGCATAAAAAATTAAAATAAAATAAAACACAAGATCATACACAAACTAGCATATCAATAAAAATAACCTAATTCTTAATTTTGCATTAACAAACTTATTTTAATTATCTGTATATCTATTTCACTTGATAAACAGCTTTTAGGTTCCAAAAGTTAAATATAATATTTTAAAGTAATAAATCATAAAATATAACAATTTTTCATGCGGTCCTATGGATATATATCATATATTAAATCATGTGTGGTATGTGTATGTATATATGTCTTAAATTTTATAATTTATATATTATATTGGAAATAATAAGAACAAAATTTGAACTAATTTAAATAGGATAAACATTGTTTTCTTTTGTTCTGAAGTGAAAATATAGATCAGACCCTTTTCTTCAGTTCACTGAGGTTTCCTCAAATGGCTTGACACTACTGAATTAACAAAGTTAGACTCTCCTCAATTTTTTAATGTATTAAAATAAAAGTCTCTTCCACTAAAACATTCACTAGAATTATCAAATCTTCACCAGTGAAGTGCAGTCATTAGATAGATGGATGGGTTTTTACTCCTCCTATCATTTTTAATTGTCATGGAATTACATTTATCCTCCCTAAACCAGTACAATGTATGCTTTTCTTGGTTCAGTAGAAAGGGATGCATCCAAGGAAAGATAAATTATTCCTTTATCACCAAAACATTTATTAAATGTCTATATTTTTAGGGGGCTGTGCTGAGTGTTATAAATGGGAATTAATTAGGCTAAATTCCTGCCTCTATCTCTATTACAACAGAAGATAGACAACAACGTTGCAGGAATTTTAAGGCCATTCATTCAACATGGGGATGCGTTCAACATGGGGATGCAAACAGATAAGTTTTTACCATGAACATTTGCATCCTTGAGCACAGTATATTAGTGTACTGGGTGAAAAGGGTGATGCATGCCATGTGATTAATTGCCTCTCACCAAACATGGTAAGAAAGATCCCTGCCAAAATCCTATGACTCGACAGAGTGCTGTCCAAATGAGATCATGATAAGAAGGAGTAGGCACAGTGGGTTTCTTTTTTAATCATCCATATCCAATCTCAGAAATTACTAAAAGAAAGGGATTTCCAGCTTGCATCTGCTTTATACATTTTAAAAATCCTTTATATGCTGTGGGGAAAAATGTTAAACAAGGAATAAACTAGTTATTGGCAAACATCACAGAGAGGCACACTAGAGTAATGGAAACGTCTCATACACATAGAAATTTAAGCACATGCTTAGAGAATTATACACATTTTGTATATTACATATACTCAATGCACTAACATATTATTTACTCTACCTATATTCCCCATCTCTACATGGGAAGATCTTATTAATCTTACCACATCTCTCTCTCAAACTCATTCCTTCTTCATTTGTTTCAGGACAATCAAATTAACATAAGTTGTGAATCATTTTGTTCTCGATAATTACAATAACCTCCTAGTCATTTTTTTGATTTTCCATTATTGTCTTTCATACAATATTGCTTCTGAGGAAGAAACTCACTTCAAAGCAAAAAAAGTACAAGAATGGGCTCATGCTCATGGATTTCACTGATTTTACTATGTACCCCACCAGTCTGAAGCAGCTGGCTTGATAGAATGATGGAATGTCCTTTTGAAGACTGAATTACAGCACCAGCTAGGTAATAATACCTTTCAGGGCTGGAGCAAGATTCTCCAGAAGGCTCTGATTCAGCGTCATTATATGGTACTGTTTCTCTGATAGCTAGGATATATAGGTCTAGGAGTCAAGGAGTGGAAATGGGAGTGGCATCACTCACAATTACCCTTGGTGACCCGCTAGCAAAATTTTGGTTCCTGTTTCTGCAGCTTTAAGTTCTGTCAGCCTAAAGGTCTTAGTTCCACAGAAACAAATGCTTCTACCAGGAGACACAACAATGATTTCATTGTATTGGAAGTTAAGACTGCCACCTCGCCATTTTGGGTTCCTCATGCCTTTGAGTCAACAGGCAAGAAGAAAGTTGTGGTGTTGGCTGGGATTATTAATCCTGATCATGAAGGGGAAATTGAACTAATCCTCCTCAATAAAGGTAAGGAAGGGTATGTCTGAAATCCAGGAGATTTCTTAGTGTGTCTCTTAGTATTATCATACCCTACAATTAAAGTCAATGGAAAACTGTGACAATCCAATTCTGGCAGAACTACAAATGGCCCAGACCTTTCAGGAATGAAGGGTTAAGTCACCCTATCAGGTGAAGAACCATCAACAGGTAAAGAACCAAAATACATATATTTTTCTCCTTGGAGGTAGAAAAAAGATACCCCTTTGAACATGATTTTCTTTGAACATTCATTAAGTATCAGTGTATTACAAACCAAAATATTCCTTAGCCTTTATTTATTTCATTTGGCATCTAACCTCATAAACTATGGTTTGACAGATGATCCAACCAAATTATTGTACATTTTAGTTAAATATTTTAGGATAATGGTTCATAAAATAATCATTGGGATCAACTACTCTGAGCTGAGCATCTAAAAAGTCTTGGTACAAAAGTTCTAAGCGATCATATCCATTCTGCACCGTAGGGGAAGTAATCACAAATTTATTTTGGTAATGTCTATGTTAGTCAGTATTTTTACTTTCCTGCTATTCAGAAGACTGAATATTAATAAACATAAATATTTGTGATTGTTAGAACCAAATGCAAAATGAAGCAATGTTGTTTCTACATTTTTATGTTGAAAATAAACCAGATTTAATTTTTACCCTACATGGGATAGGAGAGAATACACAAATCAATTTCATTCTGAAATGAGACAAAGAGATTCTGGCATTTGTTAGGACTGTCTAAAAGTAGAAAAAAAAAAAAAAAACTAGATATTTGCTTTAATGGGATAATACTGTGTTTTCATAGGTACCACAAAGCTATTTCCATAGCTTTCAGTGGGGGCATATTGTTTTAATCGCCTCTATAGTGACTGCTATGGTTTTGTCTTGGTTCACTCACATTAAGTTGCCGAATCCCTATTTGTGTACATAGACTTGCATTTATAAATATATGCCTGGTGTCTGTTAATGACCTTCCACTGACCAACTCTGCACAAATATCTCTTATCTGAACATTTAGAGCAAAGTTTGGTAAACAGTGCAAAATTCAGGAGAGAAGACATAAATCAAAACTAAAATAATAAGTTCAAAGCCTTGAACTCTTGCAATATATTGTTTTTCAATCTTGGGAGTCATTGAAATGATTACAGAGACCCAAACTATTTGAAATGCATGTCTAAAATCTAACCGGGATGCAACCACATTTGAGTAAAAGGCTATTAAAATGATGAAGTCATTATATTGTATCCAAGGATAAAAGACATTGTAAATATTTAGTCTTTCACAGTCACAAACCACTTAAATGAATGAATATAGTCTATTCAATGGTTTCTGGTTCTAATTGCCGCCAGGAAATGTCAAATTCACATGCTGTCCCAGAACACAAGATTTAGCTTTTGGATTTTTAATTTAGCTAAAAGATGTGTAAAAGCACACAGTCATTCAGATCTCTATAGGCTCCAAATCTGTGTAAGATTATATACAAATAATGTTTAAGCTAGCATTGGCAATCACATTGGCTAACTAACTTTAATGTAATTAATTGTATTTTTGTTTTTTATTTTTTTTAGGGAGAAACAAAAATAATGAAGGATGAAAATTTGGAGAGGCACTATTTTCAGTAATAGTCTTATAAATGAGGTAAGGCTCAAAGTTGCCAAAATGGAATCTGGAAATAAAGATTCATCAGCCTTATGTCTAAAGTAAATCATAATTGTTCTGAAAATGATTAACGCTGGGTGACAGCCAATGTTCCTTTGATAAAATAGTACTTAGTCTGATGCTACAATTGAGTAGACAGGAAATGGCTCACCTTTTGGTAATGAATTAACTCTTTCGTACAGGCCTATAGTAATTCCAAAACATAAGTTACAAAAATGGCTCAGATGCCAGGAAATTAAACAGAGTTTCCCAGGATAGCAAACAATTGGGTGTGTGCGTTTTCTTTTTACTTTTTTATTTTTCTTTGCTTTTTCTTCTTATCAGTATATTTGACAAACAATGTACCTATTGCTCAAGGAGCTTCCTATAATTTCTTTGCGGATTTGGCTGCATCAAAGTAGAAGTTAGTAAACAACAACATAACAGTAGTATTCGGTGACTTTTTACTTTGCAAAATTGCACAAAATATTTTTAATAACTTTGTAATAAGGTGGGATCCAGGCAGATCAAATTCTCATAATTTGTCAAAGGTAGCCATTAAAATTGTAATAATGTATTGGAATTTCTTGATTCCTGGAGTGCAAAAAACTATTAAGCTGGGTTTCTGTCATCATATAGTGTATTTAAATGCTTCTTTTAGACATGTCTTTGCATTTCGCACCACACTTCCTATATGCAATATTGCCAAGCTCAGTCTCTTTCTTCCCATGGGCATAACTTAAATGCATCTAGAAAATGATCTGAACTGTAGAGTGCATATCATTTTAAACTGGAGAGAAGAATAAAGCCTTGGAGACAGCACAGTATGTGGTTGTAGTAGTCCAAGTTAAAAATGACCTAAGTATCAACGAGGGATTTGAATGCTAGACTAGTGTGGTTATTAATGGACAAATACTCTTTCCTCAACCAAGGAACTGCTTCTATTCCTTGTAGTTATGGGAATAGGAAATGGAAAGAGACAACACTTTACTGGCAGACACATTACTGACCCTGCAGAGGCAGCAAGAAAAACGAGCAGAGAAAGCTTCAGAGAAGAGAGTCCTGCCAAGCAGAATGATTGCTTCAGGAAGTACAGGATTCCTTGGACATGATGATGACTGGGTTGGGTAACCACCTAACAGAGTAGAATGGATCAATCAATGGGTTGTTGAATCAAATCATCCTAGAATGTTGAAATCACTGGGAAAGAAGCAAAGGCATCCTGATTCCTGCCATTTCTGACTCATGGGTATTTGAGAGAGCCAACCTCTCACTTCACTTAGGACACATTGACAGCCATTTGCTAGCCATATATCTGGCATGGTCTTGAATTCAAATATTCATTCTGTAATCAGAAAATGTCTTGATGTTTTGCTTTCATAAGTATAGCTATCAAAATAATATATTAATAAAATGCAGTTTTTAGACCACTGTAACTCTTCAAGACAGTTCTTAAAATAAATAAAATGGTTAGGAGGTTTTTTAGTTACAGATTTTAGCAAATATATTTAAGTTAGAAAAAACAAACATTAAATATATGTTTTTAGATTTATATTTAGCTTATTTCACATATCAACTTTGCTAACTTATAACAGTAATCAAATTTTATGAAAAAACATATTTGGAACTAGGTTCAATACAATCTAATGCATAAAAGACACGAAGGAGAAATAAATAGTGGAAGAACATAAATACAAATGATTAAATAAGAAAGCAAGCCATGTTATTACAGGCTAAATAATACCTAGAAATGGTCCCCACTTGAAAGCAGATACTTTGTTTTTCCTCCTCTCTCTTTCATTATGCTAGAGGGAATCTAGAGCATAGTTGACCCTGGAAACAAAGACAAAATTAAAGGAGTCAGACAGAGGGAAAACCAGTACTCACCTCTGCTATCTTGAACTTGAGAGATAAGTAGAAAGTTTCTGAAAAAAGATGACTTTTATAGAACTGTGTTTTTTAGATGCTTAAAATTCTTCCACTAATCATGCATTCTTCCACTTGTGATATATTATTAAATTCTAGAACAGAAATTTATCAAGGCTTTCTGGGTCTTCAAGAAACAATTTATATAAATGAAACTGCCCCTGGAAAGGATCATAACATAATCAGCAGACACTTGGCCAGTTTTCTTTATAATAATGTAAGAAAATCTATGTTTGCTGGTAAGGAAAAATAAGATGGTCTTCTAAGGAGCTGTGAATAAAGAAAATTAGGTACCTGAATTGGGAAGAAATGAAAATAGAAAGGTATCAGAGATGGGCTTTCCCTGGATCTATGCCTTTTCTGCAGTTTGCTTCACTCTACGTATAAAGGGGTCCAGCTCTAGCTGTTCTTCCCTAATGATATTATTGGCAGTCAGCTGAATGTCTGCACAGAGAATGTCACAGTCACGGCAGGATTTTTTCTGTATTGAAAAAGCAGAAACCAAGTTCTTGGCACTCCATCAGAAGAGATGTGATTTCCTAACTAAAGCAGAATGCTCAATCAGAAGAGTTTTTGGAACTTTTCCCTCTGCCATGGAACCTGGTGAATGGTTTGTGTTTTTCCAAAATTATTTGAAATTTAGCTGCTGGGAGGCTATGCCGGCCGTTCCAATTTTTCTTTCAATTTTGCATTTTATTGGATGCTTCCCTCAAGTCTTCCAGCATAGTTCAGTCATTAGTCAGAGCTGGAAGGTTTATTATTTATTTTGACAGTCACCAGCCTATTTTGTCAAACCATACACATTACTGCTCCATTTGACAGGTGTTACTCTTAAAATCCTTCAGTTTATTTTCCCCCTTTGTGTGAGGCTTCTATGTCTACTGTCTTGTTTACTTTCCCAAAGGAAGCACAATACATTTTCTGGTTGATAAAAGCTTGATTTTGTTGCTACTTTTCGGTGACAGATTAAGCAGCCATTGGTCAAAAACTTTTTTTCTTGATTTAATCAAAATTTTGGTGAAGTGTTTACACTAGGAACCATTAGGAAATAAAATAAAACAAAGAAAGAATAGTGAATGTAGTGTAGGTAGAGGCAGAAAAACATTGCCATTTTACCTGCAATGTGCGTACTGCAGGGGATATCGAAGTTAGAATTTCTTAAGAGCTCTAAGGTTAATTGTGTATTACAAACTGCCATAGAAGAAAACAGAGGGAGCTCTGATGACATAGAAGAGAGCACTATCCAGATTAGTAAGTCAGGTAGGTCCTCCTGGAGAAGACGACAGCTAAATTGATTTGTGAAGATAAATAGTAATGCAGACAAAAGGAGATGACAGGATGGGCAATCTGTGTGGATGCCAATATAGGAAGGATGGTGAATCTGATTTGAATATATTGCTTATAACATATCACGAAAACATTTGTGTGTGTGTGTGTATATATATATTTTTTTTTTCTGATGTTTGTGACTCATCTCTGTTACCCATTTAGTTCTCTAATTTCCTTTTCTGCTCAAATGTTATGTCTTCAGGAAGCCTTCTCTGACCACCCAATGTAAATACTTCTCTACCACTTCCTTGGTAGCTCTCCATCTTTAAGCCTTGCTTCGTGTTTCTCTTTTCCTTTCTTTTCTTTTCTTTCTCTCTTTCTTCTTCTTTTTTTTTTTTTTTTTTTTTTTTTTTTTTTTTTGAGACAGAGTCTTGCTCTGTGGTCAGGATGGTGGGCAGTGGTGCAATCTTGGCTCACTTTAACCTCCTAGGTCTCCCAGGTTCAAGCGATTCTCCTGCCTCAGGCTTCTGAGTAGCTGGGACTACAGGTGCACACCACCACACCCAGCTAATTTTTGTAGTTTTAGTAGAGACATGGTTTCACCATGTTGGCCAGGATGGTCTCGATCTCTTGACCTCGTGATCCACCGTCTAGGCCTCCCAAAGTGTTGGGATTACAGGCACGAGCCACCGCCCCCAACCTGCTTTATGTTTCTTATGGGAATGCTTCATTGTCTGTCAAGAAGGAAAGCAAATATTTAATAAACTAATTGTTGTTAGTCCCCTTCTGATTCTTAGCTGTACTGTGCAACACACTACTTTAACGCTCAGTGGCTTAAAATGCAACCATTTATTAGTAATGATTCTGTTTTCCAAGAATGAGAGCAGGACTTGTCAGGGATGGCTCATCAGTGCTCTGTGATCTTGGCTGCATCTACTCATTCAGGTGGTAGTTGGGGTATAGGATCAAAGGTGACCTTACTCACATGTCAGGAACCATGGTGCTGGGCTGCTGCTGGGGTCCTTTTATTCACATGGCCACTTTCTCCAAGTGGATAGCCTAGACTTCTTTTCTAGAAGCCTTAGGATAGCAAAATAATGAAATAATCAGGTTCTATGTCTCTTAAAGTCTAGGCCCTGAACAAGCACAATCTCACTTCCACCACATGGTTAAATCAAATCCAAAGCCTATCCAGATTGAAGGAGAAGATAAATAAATTCCATTTTTTTTAAAACATGAGGAGTAGCATGTACCTGCAGGCAAGGGAGGGATTGTTACAGTCATTTTTGCCAACTATTCTGCATGCTCTCTAGAATTCAAACTGCTCAGGGACATAATCTAGTTGTGTGGAATCAAGAATATAGTTGCTCATTTATTGACTTTTCATCATGTCCACATTGAAGCACAATTAAGTACCATATTCACATCTCCAGTCCTGATTTACTTTTTATTGTGACAGGTTCTTGCTCTGTCACTCAGGCTGGAGTGCAGTGGCACAATCCTGACTCACTGCAACTTCAGCCTCCTGGGCTCAAGCCATCCTTCACCACAACCTCCCAAGAAGTTGGGAAGTTGGGAGGGACTACAGGTTTATGTCACCATGCTTGGCTAATTTCAATTTTTTTTTTTGGTTGCCCAGGCTGGTCTCAAATTCCTGGGTTCAAGTGATTCTCCCACCTTGGCCACTCAAAGTACTGGAATTACAGGCATGAGCCACTGTGGTTGGCCCTCAACATATTTTTAAACTAGAATTTTTAAAAAATGGTCTCTGTTTATTGGACATTTATATTTATATGCCCTAGCCTTGCTTCAGAAACAATAATATAACAACAAATTCATCTTTCCTCCCATTTTATTTTTTTCTTCCAATTTTTTCTGCTCTGTAAATGGTATTCTTTCAGACTTTTATTATCACCAAGGATTTAAAATGTGAAGTTACCTTTCTCTCTCTCTTTCTGTCTTTTGTTTTTGCAATCAGATGGACCCAAAATCATATTTGAAAATTGGTTCTACTATGTACTGACAATGTGAAATTGAGTAAATCACTTAACCTTTCTGAACCTATTTATTCTTCATTTAAAATTGACAGAATATCTTCATCTCAGGGTTGTTCTGCAGATTAGTTAAAAGAAAACTTTGTAGACAGACTGAAGAAGATGTTAAGCACTCACTAAATGTAAATTTCCAGCTTTTGAAAGTTTTTTTTTCTAGTGATTATGTTCTCCATGTGCTATTATTAACATTTTATAGATATTCTATGTCTCTACAACAAAAGAGTAAACTCCTTGAAGACAGTGACTCTAGAATTCTTAGGGTAGGGTCCTACATACTTAGAATTTGGAGCATGATAAACTCTGTCAAATGAATCACACTAACATCAATTAAAAAGCATGAACATTTTGTGGGGGAGAGTAAACATAAACTCACTGCTTTCTTGAAAATTAGGCAATGTAGGCAATGTATATTGTCATTTTTATTGTTGTTAGTTTGCATTCTACATTATGCTGTGTTCTCTATAAAGCAAACTCTCTTTTAAAAGAAAAGTCCGTAAGAAAATAAGAGGGCTTGTGTAAGGGGAACTACTGATTTTGACAGAGGAGAGTTTTTAAGACATAATACCAGATGTTGGAGTGATTTTGGTAATCACATCCCTTTTAGCTTTGGATGAAGATCTTTATACCTCCTTTTTAAAAGTTCAATAATATCACAGCAATACATTTTTAAGCAAATATATTTTAGAGACCAAATGCTTTTTTTTTTCTTCTCTGAAATATGATTATTTCAATTACTAGTAGCAACAATTAATCACTGACTGATTCATCAGCTTGCAGCTGGGATTATAGAGCTGACTTCCCTTTTTTTTTTAATTCCTGTTCTACTCTGCTCAGCAGGGATTGAGTGATAGCAAACTAATAACCTTTCCCTACCCTTAGTACTTTTTCTTAATACTAGCAAAGAAGAAAATTTTAAATATTTTCTCAAGTTCATTTTTAGCCCACACAACTCATTTTTATTAAGCTTTACTGAGATATACTTGACAAATATTTTATCTATGTATATAATGATGTAATGCTTTGATATACATATATGTTATTAAATGATTTCCAAATCAAGTTAATTAACATATCCATCTACTTATGATTTAGTAAATTTCAAGTATACATTACTATTAACCTTAGTCATCATGCTGTACATTAGGAATCCAGAAATCATTTATCTCATCATTGCAATTGTAAACTTTTTGTAATTATGTATCCCCATTATTTATCCCCATTTCCCCCACCTCAATCACCTATTTGCAATTATATATCCCCAATATATTCCCATTTCCCCAACCTGAATCCCTGGTACCCAACCTTCTAATCAGTTTTTATGAGTTCAACTTTTTTAGATAAGTGAAATCATGCAGTATTTGTTTTTCTGTGTCTAACTTATTTCACTTAGCATAACGTCTTCTAGGTTCATCCATGTTGTTGCAAATGACAGAATTTCTTTCTTTTTTAATGCTGTGTAATATTTCATTGTATGTATATATTTTATACATATATACACACACACTAAAATGTCTTCATTCATTAATTGACAGACACTTAGGTCATTCTCATATCTTGGCTATTGTAAATAATGCTGCAAGAAACATGAGAATGCAGAGATCTCTTTGAGATAGTGATTTTATTTCCTTTGAGTATATTCACAGAAGTGGAATTACTGGGTCATATGGTATTTCTACTTTTATTTTTTTGAGAAACCTCCATACTGTTTTGCATAATGTTTTTACTAGTGTATATTCCTCTCAATAATATATGAGTTTCCTTTTCTCCACATTCTCACTATACTTATCTTTTGACTTTTCAGTAATAGCCATTGGCAGTGGAGCAAGATGGTGGAACAGAAGCCTACAACTTTTATCCCCCTGTAGGAACACAAAATTTTAACAACTACCTAAACAGAGGAAAGCACAGTCACAAGAATTAAGAATCAGGTAGGCCATCACAGTACTTTGTTTTAGCTTGATATTGCTGAAAGAGAGGCATTAAAGAGGGTAGGAGAGACAGTCTTAAATTGCCAACACCATGCCTCCCCCATCTCCCAGCATGGTCCTGTGGGGCAAAAAGAGTCTGTCTCCTTTAGTGAGAAACAGGGCAGTGACTGAGGGACCTCACACTGAACTTCATACTGCCCTGTCACAGCAGAAAGAAAAGACATGCTGGGCTTAGCCAGTTCCCAGGCATGAAGGGAGCCATAGACTGGCCCTAGACAGAGGCAAATTGCCCATTCTAGTGGTTGCAACTTGAGTGTATTGGCAAGCCTTGCGAATGGAGGCCAAAGTTCTCTGGTGTCCTAGCTAAACCAGAAAGGCAGTGTAAGAAACAAGGACTGCAATTCTTAAGCAACGCCTAGTTCTGGGTTGGGCTCAGAGCCAGAGGACTAGGGTGGCACATGATCTGGTAAAACAAGAGCTGGGGCAGCCAAAGGAATACTTGTGACACCATTTTCCCAAATCTAGGCAGCACAACTGATAGCAATGAAGGTGACTCTTTCCTTCTGCTTGAGGAGAAGACAGTAAAGAGTAGAGAGGACTTTGCCTTGCATCATGCATACCAGCTCAGCCACAATAGAATAGGGCACTGGGCAGGGTTGTGAGGCCCCCATTCCAGGACTCTAGATCCCAGACAACATTTCTAGACACACCCCAAACCAAAAGGGAATCTGCTGCCTTGAAGGGTAGGACCCAGTCCTGGCAGGATTCATCACCTACTGGGGCTCCTTTAATCAGTAGGTCCTGAACAACCAGCAGGGATACCCAGGTAGTACATGATGGACCATGGGCTGTGAGACATGTTGGCTTCAGGTGAGACACACCACATTCCCAACTGTTGTGGCTACAGTGAAAGACTCCTTCTGTTTGATAAAAGCAGAGGGAAAAGTAAGAGGTCTTGTCCTGCACCTTAGCCACAGTGGGATAGAGCAACAAGCAGGCTGTTGGGGTCCCTAAGTCCAGGCTTAGGCTCTCAGTCAGGTTTGTGAACCTTCCCTGGGCCAGAAGCCTAAGTCCCAGGTCTGGTAGCATTCACCACAAGCTGACTGAAGAGCCCTTGGGGCTTTAAGTGAGCATCAGCAGTGACCTGGCAGAATCCCCTGTGGGCCAGTGATGGCAGTGGCCACAGGGAAAGGCTCCTCTGCCTATGAAAAGGGGAAGGAAGAGCAGGATAGACTTTGTATTGTGGTTTGAGTGTCAGCTTAGCTACAGTAGAATAGAACATTAGGTAAATTTCTAAGGTTTTTGACTTCAAACACTGGCTTCCAGACAGAATCTCTGGACCAACCTGGGACCTGAGGAAACTCACTACCCAAAAGGGAAGGACAGAAATGAGGCTGGCTTCACCACTTGCCAATTGCCAAGCCCTAGAATCTTGACCGAACATAGGTGGTAGTTAGGTAGAGGTTACAGTGGGCCGTCGGTGAGATTGAGTGCTGTGTTGACTTCAGGTCTGACCCAGTGTAGTTTCAGTGGTGGGGACCACTGAGGTGCTTGCATCTCCACAGCCCAGTTTCAGGTGGCTCACCACACACACAGAGAGACTTTGTTTGGGAGAAAGTAAGTTAAGAGAACAAGAGACTCTGCCTGGTAATCCAGAGAATTCTTCTTGATCTTATCCAAAAATCACCAAGGAAGTACCTCTTCTAGTCTGCAAGAACCATAGCATTATTGGACTTGGGGCCTAAATCCTTTCAAATACTTGAAAAATCTTCCCAAGAAGGACGAGCACAAACAAGCCCAGATTGCAAAAAATACAATAAATACCTAACTCTTTAATGGCCAGACACCAACAAATATCTACAAGCAACAAGACCATCCAGGACAATATGATCACAGCAAATGAACAAAATAAGGTACCAGGGTCAATTCTAGAGAAACAGAATTTTTCTGACCTCATGGAGGTCACAGAGATATGTGACCATTCAGACAGAGGACTCAAAATAACTGTTTTAAGGAAAATCAGAGAAGTTCAAGATAACACAAAGAAGAAATTCACAATTCTATCAGATAAATTTAACATACAAATTGAAATAATTAAAAAGAAGTAGAAATTCTAGAGTTGAAAAATCCAGTTGACACACTGAAGAATGTCAGTTGTCAGAGCCTCTCAATAGCAGAAGAAAGAATTAATGAGATTAAAGACAGGCTATTTAAGATACAGTCAGAATAGACAAAAGAAAAAAGAATGAAAAGCAATGAAGAAGGCCTACGAAATCTAGAAAATAACATCAAAAGGGCAAATCTAAAACTTATTGGCTTTATAGAGAAGGTAGAGAAAGTGATAGAGGTAGAAGGTTTATTCAAAAGAGTAATCTTTTTTAAGAAAACCTGTTATGTCTATAGTCTGAAATTATTGAATATTGCATTCTTAAAAACACACATTCATAACAATTGTACAATGTAACTTTCTATTTCACTCTAAAGCATAAAAGCCAGAAGATGTATTTCTCAGATTTTCAAATGACATTCCAAAATTATATATTCTTTGCATATTTTATCTCATTTGACAATACAAGAGCAACAAAAGTAAAAAAAGAAAGAATAATATCATCAGACAACTTCCCAAACCTAGAGAAAGATATCAACATTCAAGTACAAGAAAGTTATAGAACATGAAGCAGATTTCACCCAAAGAAGACTACCTCAAGGCATTTAAAAATCAAACTCCTGAAGGTCAAGCATAAAGAAAAGGTCTTAAAAGCAGCAACAAAAAAAGAAACAAATAACATACAATGGAGCTCCAATACATCTGGCATCAGACTTTTCAGTAGAAACTTTACAGGCCAGAAGAAAGTGGCATGACATTTAATGTACTGAGTTAAAACAAACAAACAAACAAAACTTTTTACCTTAGAATAGCATATCTGGGAAAATATCCTTTAAACATGAAAGAGAAATAAAGACCTTCCCATACAAACCAAACCTGAGGAATTTCATCCACACAAGACCTGTCCTACAAGAAAAGCTACAGGGAATTCTTCAATCTGAAAGAAAATAATGTTAATGAGCAAGATGAAATCACCTGAAGATATAAAATTTACTGGCAATAGTAAGCACACAGAAAAACCAGAATATCATAACACTATAATCCTGGTGGAGAAACTAAAGGGGAAAAACTAAATGATGAATCAATCAAATTTTATAACTACAACTTTTTAAGACATAATACAATAAGTCATAAAGAGAAAAAACAAGTTTAAAAAGTTAGAGGACAAAGTTAAGGTGTAGAGTTTGTATAGTTTTCTTTTGCATGCTTGCTTGTTTGTTTATGCAATCAGTGTTAACTTGTTAGCAGTGTAAAATAAGGGATTGTAAAATAGCATTTGCAACCCTCATGCAAAACTGAAATTGAAAAACATACAACGGATACACAAAATATAAAATAGAAGATATTAAAGCACAACACTAGAGAAAATAACATTCACTAAAAGGAAGACAAGAAGGAAGGAAACAAGAACACAAAACAAATAGAATATAAATAACAACATAGCCAGAGTAAGTCTCTACTCATCATCAAAATAACATTGAATGTAAGTGGACTAAACTCTCCAATCAAAAGACATAGAGTGGCTGAATGAATAAAAAAAGAAGACCTAATGATATGTTGCCCACAAGAAACACACTTCACCTATGAAAAGTCTACACACAGACTGAAAATAAAGGGATGAAAAGAGATATTCCATGCCAATAGAAACCAAAACAAAGCAGGATTAGCTACACATATATCAGACAAAATCGAATTCAAGACAAAAACTATTAAGAAAAGATGAAGAAGATCATTATATAATGATAAAGGAGTCAGTTGAGCAAGAGAGATAATGATTGTAAATATATATGCACCCAACACTGGAGCACCCATATATATTTATAAAACAAATATTACTGGAGCTAAAGAGAGAGATAGACTCCAATACAATAATAGTTGGAGGCTTCAATACCCCACTTTCAGCATTGGACAGATCTCCCAGACAGAATATCAACAAAGAAACATTGAATTTAATTTGTACCACAGGAAAAATTGACCTAATAGATATTTATAGAACATTCTATCCAAAGTCTGCAAAATTTATTCTTAGCACATGAATCAATCTCAAAGATAGACCAGACCATATGTTATGTCAAAAAACAAGTATTAAAACATTGAAAAAAAGTGAAATAATGTAAAACATTTTCTCTGCCACAGGAAAATAAAACTAGAAATCAATAAAAAGAGATTTTGGAAACTATACAAAGACAAGAAAATTAAACAATATGCACCTAAATGACCAGTGGGTCAATGACAAAATTAGGAAAGAAATTGAAAAAAATTCTGAAACAAATGACAATGGAAACAGAACATACCAAAACCTATGAGATTCAAATGAAACAAGCACTAAGAAGTAAATTTATAGCCATAAGTATCTACATCAAAAAGTAGAAAAAAATCAAATGAATAACCTAATAATGCATTATAAAGAATTAAAAAATCAAGAACAACAAAACCCAAAATTAGTAGAATAAAATAAATTATAAATATTGGAGCAGAAATAAATGAATTTGAAATGAAGATAACAATTTAAAAGATTAACAAAATAATACTGATTTTTTAAAAAGATAAATTGACAAACCTTTAGCCAGATTAATGAAGACAAAAGGAGAAGACCCAAATAAATAAAATCAGAGATGAAAAAGGAGACATTACAACTGATACTGCAGATAGCCAAAGGATCATTAGTGGCTACTATGAGCACCTATATGCAAAAAAATTGGAAAATTTGGAGGAAATTGATAAACTCCTGGACACACGGAACCTACCAACATTGAACCATAAAGAAATCCACAACCTAAACAGACCAATAATAAGTAACGATATTGAAGCCATAATAAAAAGTCTCCAGGAATGGTTTCACTGCTGCATTTTACCAAACATGTAAACAGGAACTAATACTGACTCTACTTAA